ATAAGAGCCGGTATAGTATAATTATTATCATATCAAATAAGTTAAAAATAAATATCATGTCAGTAAATATAACTTTAATTACATAAAAAGCAATATGAAAATTTAATATTTATTATTAATTAATATTGATTAAATATTATATTAATAAATTGAGCTACAAATAAACTACAAATAAATATCATTAGCAAATATAATTCAAAATGTAATTCAAATAAAAATCAATATGACAATATCATTTCATGTCTTCATAAATTATAGTATTCATATATAATATTACAACTAGAGAGAAAAGAATAAATCTACTTTTAATTAGATCCCTAAGGACTTTTATTGTAGTCTATATTATTCACCCTTTTCGTGTAAATATTGAAAATTTTGATTAATTTAATTTCCATTATAGTTAAGATTCTAATGTTGTAGTACCTTTCGTACAGGGTATCTATTCCAATGATCAATTGATTTATACGCTCAAGTCCAGTTTATATGCTGGCAGGGGAATTCTACAAATAAGTCTCTATTTCTTATCTCAGCATTTCAAGTTCCTCTGCTCCAGAATGGCTCACGCCATTTTCTCGTACAGGGTATCCCTTGATTGGTCACTCTCACTGTCTCAGCGAATGTGGGCTTTGGTTTTTCGTATTTTTGTTTGTCGCATATCTTTTTGTGCAGAATTTTTGTTGCTGTTTATATATAAAATGCTCATATTTATTTAGAATGCATTTGAATATTTTGCGCATATTTCGCAGAATCTAATGGGCGAGCGTCGCATAACTTGAATGCAGGGCTTTTAGCATAGTTTTTACCATTCGCCATTCGCCATTCGGCCATATGGCCATTGGGGATCGTCTGATTAGCATCGTTTTAATGTTTAATTTAGGCTCTGGTGGCGGCCATTAGCTGCTGCACATGAAACATTTTACAAAAATAAAAATACATAATATATAAATTACAATATGTATATATATGTAAATATATATTTATGTACACTCTTCAATATATATATATATATATATTCTATAGCTTTTCCTTTATATATTTTGCTTTGCAATTTATTAGCGCCTGGCAATTGCTCGGCTTTGTGTTAATGGCGTTGCCAAAAATTGTAAATTATTTATATTTCATTGCTAATTGCTGCCAACTTCTTGTTACGCGCCGCTGTCGCTGCTTTCAATTTTGGCAACATAATTTTTGGTTTTAATTGCTGGGCAATTTTCCGGCGCGCAAATAATCAAAGCAAAAAAAAAAAAAAAAAATGAAAAACAACAAATATTTACATAAAACGATTTATTATGCTTTGGAAGGGTGTATTAAATGGATATACATATGCCCTGTATGCCTCCAAAATCAGCTAATTTTGAGCATGAAATATGACGAATATTTCTAAACTAACAATTGGGCGAATCTTTCTCAATATATATACATATATATGTATATTTACCTATGCGAATGTCTACATTGCGAATATCACTCGAGTTTCAGTTATGATAGTTCATATCTTGTATTTTTGGGAACTCCAAGATATATATAATTTTAGCAATTTATCATGACGATCAAGTTATAAGGTATCAATAAATTTATTAGATATAGTACTTCCATATGCATATACATTCAATAAAATGATTATGATAAAGTATCTACCAAATATAAAATATAGACACTTGATCTCTGGACCTCTAGACACAGATCGATCGAGGGTAAATTGCAAATTCTCAATGTACTCAAATCAAAAAAATAAAATGTTTTAAGCTCCGCTTTTTTATTATTTTCATTTTTCTTATTAATTTCCAGTGGTACAACTATACTACTTCATATATGTTTATATTGGTAGTCAAAAAATAATTCTGTTGCCCCATAAAATAAACAACAGACAGAAACCTGGCTTGGACAGCAAAGAAAAAAAAAGGAATTTTAAATTTATCCACACAAAATCCAACATTAAACCGGAACTCAATTTAGCGGCAAAATACCTAAAATGCTGTTTGCTAAAATCTCCTATCTAATACACGAATACACACCCACGCAGATATACACCTACATAAATACACTGAGCGAAATGAATGTGGATATATAAAATCTAAATAAAAAGCTTACCAAAATATATGCATGTGCATATTATTAAAATGTATTAACAAATATTTGTAGATGAAATCAACTTTATAACTTTAGATTTTAGATAGATTACAATATTGCATATTTTAATAATTTTTAAAATATTCTGTGGTAAGTTAGAAAGTCCTCAGACTTTGCTATAGCTAGTATCTATCTGAGATCGAAATGAAATCAGATGCCAAGATTAATGATTTCCAAAAATGTTGGAGACAATTTCGCTCAGTGTAAATTTTTGTTTTGCATATTTTTGTGCATTTCGAATACTTTACAAATTTCGCATATGAAAATTGTGCGCGGTTAAAAGGCGACAGCGAAAGCTGTCAACGTGTGTGACTGTGTGTGTGTGTGAATGTTTCGGTGTTTGTGCTAGTGTTTTTATTATGGACAAATCTAATAACAATTTTGCAGACAGACAAAGTTAGGCAACACTCACAAATTGGTTTCTAATTTAATTGTTGTTGTCTGGCTAAATTAAAGTTGCCAGAAGACAGACAGACAGACAGACAGAGAGGCAAGCAGAGGTAGGGAGAAAACAAAAATAAAGTGGCGCTTGAATTAATCAAGCGTCAAGTGTGGCAACAGCTTGAAGCAGCCACATTCGCCGAGCTAATTAAATATTTGCATGCCAATTGCAGAGACTGAACGAGAGAGAGAGAGAGAGAGAGGCAGAGACAGAGATAGAGGGAGGGAGATACTTATGCACACATACACTTACAGATCTACCGTTAAGTAGCTGTTCAGCTCAAGATGTGCTAATAATAATAATGAAAAGTCAGCGCCGAACATAAACTGCAGCAGGACGAAAGCAAACGTCGCAAAAAAAAGTAAAAAGAAAACAAACAAAAATAAAAGAGCACAAAATTCAGGGCGCAAATAATGATGAGAAAAGAGCCCACAGCAGCAGCACCAGCAGCAGAAGCAGCGGCAGCGCCCGCGGCAGTGGCAACGGCAGTCATAAAATGTGCCCAGTTCCACTTTATGGTCAGTGGCAGCGCTGGCGGCGGCGCTGACAGCGCGGGCAGCGTGCAGCGGGCAGCGCTGGCATCTGCTTAAGCGCTAAAACACGATAAATCTAATAAGGCTACGACAAAATAGTGAGAGCGGGTGCCTAAGAGAGCGGGGCGCAGCTCCTGTCGGCAACTGCTGTCGCTGCTGCTGCTACTGCTGCTACTGCTGCTGCCTGTCTGCTGTCTGCCGCACGCTGAGCGCCGCATGGGAAACGCGTCGCAACGTCTTAGCGTGGCAGCTCGCATAACTGACCTGCCCCACGTGCCGAACGAAGAGCGCCGCTCTTAAGTCCTGTGCGCTCTTCACGCTCTTTGCTGGCGCACACCCCCAGGAGTTCTCTGTCGCTGCTCAGCCAAGCGGATGCATTGCAGAATGCCGGCTAAATTGAAGCTTTCCGTTTACTTCCGCTGCTGGCGCCAGCGGCAGTTGCTGTCGCAGTCGCGGCCGCGGCCGCTGCGAACGTCACACAAACAAGCACACCCTCTCTGTCGCGGTGAATGTCTTTAATTTTAGCCATCGAGTGGATTATTTTTTTTCTTGATATAAAAATTATTATTTTTAATTATAAGCTGTTCATTTAACATATGATTTATGTGCCGCTGGCTGCGCTGCCAATACGGGGGAATTCCTTTGTTGTAATCGACGCTGACGGCGCAGTCGAAGCAGGCATCGTCGCCGCTGTCGCAGTCGCTGACTTGTTGATGAGCAACCAGCGTCAAGTGCGGCGCATCTAACGGCATTCGTTTTGCAACTACAATGCAAATGAGAGTTCGTCTGGCACGCTCGCTCTTTCTCTCGTTCTCTCTCTCTCTTTCTCTCGCTCGTTCGCCTGCTCGTGCGCGCTGTGTAACTTTTTACTGCAGGCAACGTCGGCGCCTCGTGCAAAGTTTACTATGCCAATGCACTCAACGGTACGTCGTCGTCGTCGTCGTCATCGTCTGGCGCCCATTGCTCGGCTTCGGCATTTGGCAATGCAGCGACAATAGCAGCAGCAGCAGCAGCAACATCAGTTGCAATGGCAGCGCGCCGACGCAGCATAGTACTCTCTCTCTCTTTTGCTCTCATTGATTGGCATCGCGGTTGTTCGTTTGTCAGCGCTGCGGCCCACCTTCACCTTCACCAGCTGTGGCTGTCGCTGCCACTGCTGCGACTGCTGCATCTGCTGCCGCCTCGGCTGCGTTTGCTTGCACACAGCAGTTCTCGTTGGGCAAGTCCCCGTCTAGTTGGCATTCAGTCGAAACGCAACATTCGCCAGCTGCGGTTGCCCAGCGGCGACAAGTGCAGTTCAACCAGTTCAGTTCAGCGCAGCAGCACTCGCACTCGCAGCCGCAGTAGCAGCCGCAGCGGCAGCAGCAGCAGCAGTAACGGCAGACACAGCCACAGCCACAGCCACAGTCGCTGTCGCTAGCGCACTTTGCTGGCAGTCGCTTTTGACCGCTCAGCCGCAACGGTCGATTGTTGGGCAGAGCTGCGTTGCGTTCATATTGCGAAACGCTGCGCAAACGCACGTTCCATCTAACGGTAGTAACACACATATACAGTTAGACATTCGTCAAGTGTTGCCAATGCAGCTTAAACATAAAGTTGACAAACGCAAAAGATTTTTAAAATTTTTGGTGATCTGCAAAAGTAAAAGAAACGAATTCAGTTATGTATCAATAAATACTGTTCACAAAATAAAATATATATACATATATATATTTTTAATATAAATATATATTTATATATATATTTACAACTGGCAGCTGCCGTGTAACGCGAGGTTTTGTTATCAATTCGCCGTAAATTCATTTTCCATTTCTACGTCGCGTCGTTTTTGCCATATAAACAAAATACATAACGAAATGATAGACTGGAAAAAAACAAAATAATATCATAAAAATTTAATAAATAAAAAAACAACAACAACAAATCAAAAGAAGAGAGAGAGAGAGAGAGAGGCATAAAATGCAATCGCTGGAAATTCCTGAATGTAAGACACTTTATATGGAAGGGCCGCCGACAGGTGAGTGCAATGAATATGATATTTGCATTGAATATGTTATATGATATATATGTATGTATGCGTGTATGTATGTATATATGCATATGATATGATATATCAGCGAGATATGAGACAGTGAATGGGCGCAGCAAATCGACTGATTGAAACTTGTAGACGGGTTTAATCTAAGGGGATTTATCGGGAATTCATATCTGTATGAAGTGTAGTAAATGGGTTTATGAACGAAATATATGGTATATTGAATGGAATGGAATAGTACGTATAGCGTTACAATAAAATAATAATAATAATAAAAAAAAATAATAATAATAAATGGCAGGGAAAGCGATAACTGAATAAAAATACAAGTAAACCTCTCTTGAGAGTAAATATATTGGAATAGGTTTACTAATAAATAATATTATTTATAAAGTAATTAGTCTCGAAAGTCAGAAATAAATAATATTATTTATAAAGTAATTAGTCTCGAAAGTCCGAATTTACTTAGTTAAATAAATAGAGAATCCTAGAATTTAAATAAAATATATAGTTTCCGTTATTTTACATAATTTGTAGTTTCAGTTTATCGTATATATCATTTTAGAACTCTGTTTGTAGAACTGAATAATATATGATAGCTCAAAGATTCTTCTAACTATAAAGTCACTATTCTTCCAGTTTTCCCAAATATATATCTTCTTTACATTAACATATTATATTTGCAACTTCAACTCAGCTCTTTGAAGCTTCTTCTGCAGCCAAATATTTTCTATAAAGTTCGAAAATCCCTTTTCGCAATATCCACTTTGAGGTCAGAGAATGAAGTAAGCATGAATTTTGCTTCTGCCTGATCATTTAGTACGCTTCTTCGCCCATTGTTTGGGTCTAATAATAAATGGTGTTAAATAGTTTGGCTCGACGGGTAGCTCAGATTTTGATGAGCATTCCAGTCCCGCAGAGCCCCTCTAGTAGCCTCTTCTAATAGCCCCCTTCGAGCACGATGATTTGCACCTTTTTGGCAAGTCGAAACTAATTTTGAGTTTTTTCCTCCAACTTTTCTTTTTTTTTTTTTTTTTTGCTACACTCTTATCAGCGCAAATAGACAATTTAAAAGATAGAGAGAAGAGCATGGGAACGAGTGTGAGCAAGAGTGTGTAGTGGGGCGGGGGCGGGTAGCGGTCAGGAGCGTACTTGCGAGGGGCTCTTATCAGCGTCTGCCTGCAAAATGACAATTTTATTTGGCGCGCATTTCGCTGCCTACCCCCACCAGCGCCCCCATTGACCCTGCTACCCTCGCCCCTGGGTCGCTTTTCGCGCAATTGCATTTGCTGATAAGCAAATTAGCTTGCCAACTGGCCTAGTAATTGAGTTTGCGGGAAGAGACAGGTACATGTGTAAGGTAAATGTGAGCATGTGTGTGTGTGTGTGTGGTGGGGGCGTTAACCAGCCGAGCAAACTTCTAAGCAGCCGCCGATTGAGCAAAGCTTTTTTTTGCCAAAAGCGGTTCTCACATTTGTCATGGCAGAAGGAGGAGTGTGGGAGGCTAGAAAGGGGGAGTTCATAATAAAGAAAAGTGGCCGCAAAGAGTGCTTAAAAAATGGAAATAGATGAGTGTGCCAAGAGCAGAGCGGAGGCTGGGCAGGGTCGCAGGTGAACACAAAAAAAAAGGAACGACGCTGAATAAAAAGAAGAAAATGAAATAGAAACATGAGAGCAAAAAATGAACTAAAGAATTTCTACTTATAACGAGTTTTTATTACAAACGCGCGAAAGCGGCACAAAAAAAATAATAAAATAAAATAAAAGAAAGAACGGACTGCTTCTCAAACCGTTAGCCGAAAATGTATTAAAAAAGAAGTAAAAATAAGTAAGCAAAAAAAAAAAAAAATAAAAAAAATAAAAATACAGACTGAATCTAACAAAATTCCAAAAGGAGTGCCTGGGCCAAAGGGAAGAGCGAGGGAGCGACGGGAGTAGGCAGAGTGGGAGAGTGCACATAAAAAGTAACAGCATTTTTGCCTAGCAGACAAATGCACAGACAGACGCAGAGACGGACGAACTGGCAGATGAAGAACAAGACTGCGAAAGCATGAAGCAACATTATTCAAAAGAAAGCCAAGTTAAGGCATGCCGAGCACTCACTCACACACACACACACTCAAAGAGAGAGGCAGAGTCAGAGAGGAACGGAGAGAGAGAGAGATAGAGACAGAGAAAGAGGCGAAGAGAGAGCAGACAGACAAAAGCAGCATAATGCAGCAGAGAAGTGCATGAGACAGGCACAGTTACAACAACAATGGCGGATCGCAGCTAGCATTAAACATCAAGTAGCAGCAGCAGAAGCAGCAGCAGCGACAGTGGCAGTGGCAGTGGCAGCGACAGCGGCGCCGACAGTAACGGCGACGTCAGCAGCGAATGTAAGCGTTACAACAACAAACACATGCCGACATTCTTTCATTCGTACAACGACCTCGACTTTGATTTGCAGTTAAACGGCCAGAGCCAAGTAATTTTCGCAAGCGTGAGAGAATTATTTTCGCGAGAGAGCAAGAAGCAAGGCAAACAGATGTCAGCCCCAAACGGCCTCTAGACGACCTACACGCGTGAGCGAGAGCGCGCGTGAGAGAACGGCAAATATGCGCTCGGCTCGAGTCGGCTTTCGTATGGCGTCGTAGCGCCATCGTGTTTTGGCATTCGTGTCTCGTCGCCGCTTCTGCTGCCTCTGCTCCCGTTGTCGGCGGCGGCGACAGCGACAGCGACTGAGGCTGCTGTATGCTATGCCAAGTCGTTTGTTCGTCAACTCCATTCATTCGTATTGCGCGTCTCGTCTGTGCCGGTCGTCCAAAGCTGCTCAGGTCTTACAGATTGTGCTTCATTTGTCATCGAACACACAGACACTCACACACATACACGCAGCCACAGACACTTCATAGAATCATACAGTTAGGTAGACAGTGTTCAGCAACAAAGACAAAACAGTGCTTTAAAGTGCCGAAGTGAACATTCGCAGCAATCAAATCGAATACAACACAAAAAGCAAACGCGTTATTCATGCAAAATAAAATCAAATCAAATGAAATAATACAAAATAAACTTGACTATCGCCAGACACAGACACACGCATACACTCAAATGTGAAGAGAGACAACAAAACAGCAGCAGGTCGGCCAGACAACTCACAAACACACAAACATATACAGCTAGCAGTTAGCAGCTACAGTTATCAAATGCGGCCGCCGCCGGCCTGTCAACTTGTCCAGACAGCGAGAGCGAGAGCGAGAGAGAACGATACAGAGAGGGAGAGATGGGGGGAGAGAGAGCGACAGCGAGAGTGTGTGGGCTAGAGCGAGCGAGCGAGAGCGGGCCTATAAATTTCATATGTGCAATGTTTGTGCCTGGCTGCTGTGCTGTGCGTTGTATCAGCTAACCGGATGTTGATTTGTTGGCCGCAACAAACACAAAACATGGTCCAAGCCAAGCAGCAGCCATCTTAACACTCACACCCATGCCCACACACACACACTCATAGAGAGAGAAAGAGAGGCATACGCACTCCCTCGCTGGTACATTTGCAACACTGGCGCTGCCTTTAAGCACGATGAAAAAGAATGCAAAATGATGCTAGATAAAAGACTTGCAACACGCTTGAATGAGGCCAGAAAACAAAGCCAAACAAGAGTGCATATTCACATACTCTCTATACACCCCTCATATACTCTCTCTCTCTCTATCAACTCTATATTCTATATATAGGCAGCCATGGAACGGACAAGCACAGCTTTAAATAGGTAAGCGAGAGAGTTAAGCTTACTTCATTCTTAATAGGCCCAAAAGAAAGATTAGGCTATGAATTTTGGAAAATAATTTCACAAGAATTGGTTTTACTTGAAATTATAGAAGATATTTTGAGATGCTAGTCAGCACTTCAAAAGTGAATGCAAGATCTACAGTGAAAAGCACTTATTCAGAAATAATTTGTAACCAATTTCAATTGAAACTTTTAAATGACAGTAAGTCTTATTCTAGGAATCTACAAGAATTTTAAAATATTTATATATGGTAAAAATTTAAGAATGCAAATTATGCATATGATGTTCTTTTTTTAATTAATCTAGAATCCATTTTGGATATATTAAATACGACAGAAGAAACTGGATTAAAGTTAAATAGGAAAAATATATAATATGGAAAAATATATAGGCAATTTTATATTTTTAAGAAAGGTAAAAATATATTTTTGCTATATATAAATGATATTTTGTATGAACTAAAGAGCTATATACAAAATTTAAAAGAAGTAAGCTTTGGGTCAGTTTATACTTAAATTACGATTGAAGTTTTATCCAAATATTTTAGTTTATAAATTTTTTTGTTATTGAGGAATTTCTCAAATCTGTCGGAACTTGTTCTAAGCTGTCTTAGTTTTTTTTTCACAAATTAACACGTTATTATTTCGAAATTCGCATACTTGTGCTACATAGTTAAGCCTAGATCTACAATCTCTCTCTCTCTCTCTCTCTCTCTCTATATATATAGATATATATATATATATGTGTATATTTACATAAATTCCAATTCCCAAAAACCAATTAGACTATCAAATGCGCTTTCGAATCAAGCTGAAAGTCGTTGCTTGTTTGCCGTTTAACAGAGGCAACTTAAAAGGGGGCACGTTAGCACACACATAAGCACACACACATACACATCCACATACAGTTACTCCATAGACCCCTCTCCCTGCGCTACTCTCTCGTTTAACGGGGCGTGCCCCAGAAGCGTGCTAATAAAACATTTAATTAAAACATTAAGCGACGTCACATAATTAAACTGTAGCACCTGAACGAGCCAGTCGAGCGAGAGAGAGCGAGCGAGAGAGAGCGAGCTATTCCGGCCGAGCTGTCTGCCAAGTTGCACACACACACACACAGAGCTAAGCACCCATGTACAGTTAGGACAATTGTAGTAAAAGTTTATCGCCCGCATTTAAAAAACCATGGATTAAAATTCTACTTCAAATGTGCAGAAGAAAAGAATGAAACAGAGAGGGAGAAGCAAGAAGGAAACTTTTTTGCTACAATTTTATGCAACATGTTTTCTAACGTCCCTCTATGTGTGTGTGTGTCTGTGTGGGGCACCCACATATTGTGCCGGGTAATCCCAACACCAACACCAACTCCACCACCATCGCCAGCCCCAACCCCAACCCCAACCTCGTTGCAATAAAGATAAGCGTCGCAGTTAGCAGCTAGATACCTGCATTGCTCGTGTGTCAGTGTTGGTTAACGAATGTTGTCCACTAATTGCAGCGCCAAACAGTTTGTAAGCCTGACTATTTTGGCTGCCATTAAGAGGGGGCGGCACTGGGTGGGCGTGACTGCCGGTGCCAGACATTCAGACAATTTCATAGAAAATGCATGAGCACGAAAGCAATTCAATAGCCGAAAAATAGCTAGGCCAGAGGCGTGGCCAACGAGAGGCGGATAGGCCACACTGTACTTGTCGCTTGTACAAAAAAAATGGAGGAAACGAGGAAGAAGAGGCACAAATTACTCGATAGCAGGCGGCAAACTTATAGATACAAGATACGACTGGAATGACGAGCACAAAAAAAAAAAAAAAAAAAAAAAGAAAAGAATCAAAAGCGAGAAAATGAAAGAAATTTGCACGAAAAATTAAAAAAGGAAAAAAGAAGAGGCGAAGTACAGCGCAAGGGCGTAGTAGAGGGCGGGGCGCTGTGGAGAGGGGGTTGAGGAGGTAACTCAATCGGCATAGAAGCGGCAAAGTTTTCGAATTAATTTATTGATACGACGATAAGGAAATGGAAATGCGAAGCGAAGACAAGCTGCAGATAAAAGAAAAAGAGATAAACGATTTTAATAGAGAGAGAGAGGGAGAAGACCGAGAGGAGGAAAGAGGAAGCTTCACTAGGGGGAGAAGATTGTAAAGTGAAGTTGGTTTAATCAAATGGGCACGAAAATTTAAAAGCCAAATGAAAGAGCTGAGCCATAAAAAATGATTTGTGACTGCGCACAGCGGCAAGTGTGGTCGGGGAGAGAGAGAGAGAGAGAGAGAGAGAGAGAGAGAGAGGCGAGTTGATAAAAAGAGATCGTATGAGTCATAATGCGCTGCTCATACGCAACGTTGACAACAGCAGTTGGCATTAAAAAACTTGCATTTGTATTTGTCTACGTCGCCGTGTATTTACTTATGCAAAAAAAAAAAAAAAGCCGAAAAAAGCTGAACAAAATTCACTTTGTATCTGATTAAAAGCGTATAAAAAGCCAGGCAAACAGTAAGAATAAATGTTAACGCGCCTTAGAAGAGTGGCAAAGCGCAAACGATGTTGTAGCCAAAGACAAACAAAAGTAAAGAGGGGAAGAAAGAAAAACAGTAAGGAGATAGCTGTAACAAATGTGAATAATTAAATACTCTAACTAGCCTTACCATTTCTAAATTGATATCATGTTGAATTTCTTGCCAAATTTGAATATTCAGGCGAGTCTTCTTTGTGGTTTCATATGTCTTCAAGAGAATTATTGGGTAAGCTATTGAATTTAGGCAGATGATTTCTTTAGCCTAATAAGAGCAAAAAATATGTCATAGATTTGATTACTGGATGCTAAAGATATTTTGACATAGAACTGATTTATCTCAAATAAATCTAAAATAATTTTTCGAATGTTTTTTAAGTCTATATATAATAAATAATAAAGAAAACTAAAGTATTCCAAAAGTTACTTTCATGCTCCAAGCTATAAGCTCATTAGGGATTCCTCCTAAAATTCGGAATTGCAAGAGTCAATTTAATTGATACACTCCGTGCCATCAGTATAGCTATATTTCGATTCTTCACTTTGGCGTTCTCTGTGCTCATACAAATTGTTTTCTACTAGACTCTTTTGAATTCTTCATAAATAGAATTGTAATTGGATTATATAAAATTATATTGAGTATATTATCTCTGAAAGTTTCTGCTGTGGGCATCAGCTAATTGGCTATGTATAACTATAGATGTATATATTTGTATTTCTATACAGACAGAGTTAGTGGATCTTCAGGCTGCTCACCTAACTGATAGACCCCGAAATATTTCGCAGCGCATTATCAAGAATCAGACAGCTGTAGCTGCAGACATCTATTCACACACACTCAATTGTTGATACACACGGCTCTTGGCTGAGGGTGTATGTTTGTATGTGGGCAAATATATGCACATAAGTAAAAAGTATCTTTGGCAGAGCAAGAGGCGGGACAGTAGCTCTGCTCCCGCAGTGTCCTCCGCTCCCCTCCTCTATCCGTTCGCTTCTTCGTGTTCAATAACATTTCGATAACATTTCACTGCGACTTTGACTTTGCGCATTTCGCTCTATATAAATATACAATAGTTTGTTGTTGTAGCTGATATGACGCTTAAAATACATATATATATATATATGTTCTTTATATATACACATATATTTATATGTACATATGTACGTTTATAAAAACAACTATAAAAAATGCAAATTTTATTTCGCTTTTTATGCGCGGGCTTTTGTTTTTTTTTTTTATTTTTTTATTTGTCTCTTTGTATTTATTTGTGTTTTTTGTTTTTTGTTTTTTTCGTTCGCGCTTGGGTTTGTTGTTTGGATTTGTTTTAAAACGTTGCTCCGATTTATTTATTGTGCCATTCATGCTGTAACTGTATTTCCATTGGATGCTGTAGCAGTAGCTGTATCTGTAGCTGTATTTCCATTTAGCTACACAGCATTTATTTATTGTCCTTGTTTTCTTTCGGCCGCATCGCAACTGCTGCAATTTATCGTTGGCAAAAACTAGAGGCTAGTAAAATATTGAAATATCAATACAAATTTCACCATGATTTGCGCTACAGTGACAGAGAGAGATAGATTTATAGAGAGAGAGAGAGAGAGGGAGAGAAAAGTCTTTTCGTCCATAAATAACATGCGTTGCTATAGTTTTCTCCGCTTCAGTTTAGATAAATGCAATTTGTGCGCAATTTAATTGACAACTGAAACTGGGGAATTGTAAGAACTTCAATTGTTTGAATTGTTTGGACTCTCTCTATATATATAAGCATTTATATATACACTGAGATTAGTCCATGATATATGTGCATCTAGCATAATGCCGCTCAGTGCCTTTTCCCTGTCTGATAGCTTCCAAATGATTTATAATGCTGTCACTGGGAATTGCCTCGGTTCGATTTGAAACGAACTGAAATGCACTAAAAGAACGAAAAGCCAATCAAATGTATATTATCTTTAATGCTCAATCAGTCTTATATATGTCTATATATACATTGTTTATACTGTTGCGTATATACATATATATAGATTCATTTTATTGTTGTTTACTTTTGCATTATAGACCTAGTCTGACCTAGTCTTGGCACCTATCGAGCTGCATCCTTATATGTTGCATCCAGCTGCCACCGATCATACTAAAAATATTAGTCTTAACTTAAAGTAATAATAATAATCATAAATATAATAATATCAAAACACATTTTTAAGCCAAAAAGAAAGTTAAATTTATATATATTTTAAAATAATACTAGAACTTTTTGGTTTTATTATATTGTAGATTTTATATAGCTCAAGCTATGATACCATATTATCTCTTCACCTCTCATCACCTCTCCGTCAGATATCCTGCAACAACTTTTGTAGCTCAGTTCTTTATGTTTTTGTTGTTTTTAATTCCTTAATTATATTTTATTTTGCTTTGTCAGCGATTCCTAAACGTTTTACTTAGCCAATTTGGCTAATTTACTGAGCTATTTATT